CCCGTATTCTCCTGATCTTGCTCCTTCCGACTATTGGTTATTTGGCGATATGACACGTGCCTTCGAAGGAAGAAGCTTCAATTCCCGTGGAGCGGTCGAAGCGGCACTCAAACAATACTTTGCCTCACGCCCGGCTGGATTCTACCGCAATGGAATCCATAAATTGAGGGAACGTTGGAGACATGTTGTTGATAATGATGGACAATATAATTAATTATTCGGTTATTTTTTCTTTGAGAAATAAACTATTGAAAAAGTGACAAAGACTTTCCCGCCAACCTAATATGATTAAATGGAAGACGAGTCTATCATCTACAGACCTCATAGACCACATATGTATCTACACAAACACACATGTAATAAGGCTTGTCGGAATAAACACTCGAAAATTAGAAACGATGATTATGAGAGAGAATCTCCTGAAGTATTTTACTTCTTGTCATCTGAACGCAAGTTAACAGACGAACTAATAACTTTTGATAAAATCGAGAAATACTTTTTCTTCACTAGCAATGATGAGCTAATGCAAGATATAGATAAAAGTTATAAAACAAAATTTCATGGAGGATCCGAACCGATATTTTTATATTGTAACGACAAACTTTTTTGTAATAGATATGGTCCATATGGAGACAACATCATAGATATAGAACAAACTAGAGATACAACTAGATTCAATAAAAAGAATACACCAATTAATAAAATCGATTTTGAAATTAGAGGGAATACAAATGAAAATGTTCCGTCAATAAAAAATGATACCCACTATATCATCACATCCGAGGATGATATAAAGTTTTTATACAATTCAAGGGCATCTGTTTTTATATCTGAAGAGGATGAACACCTATTGAGTTTAAAAGATGTTGAGCAGTTATATCGCAGAGCTAATACTTATGTTCCAGATAAAAGAATTAAAGATAGTATATCAGAAAATGAAAGAAGAAAAATGTTATTATCTATGGCATTTACTGACGGTTTGATACATTCTTCTACTTATTAGTTTCCAACCATTTTGATATTTTATCCTTAGGATTTTTGATATTATTAGTGCTTAGTTGTTCACTCACTTCATTAAAATAAGACAACACAAATTTCTTTACATCCACTCCAACCCCATCCTTTGACAAGAATCTACCTGGTGTCTCTTTGTATGGTTTCTGCTCTTTCTTTGTTAAGTATATTTTTGTGTCTGTATTATTCTTTCGGCCAGTATAAATATTGATTGTTTCAGGAGGATTAGGCCAATATTTAACAATATGTTTTATAATTATATCTATACAAAGTGTATCAATTAAATCTTTCTGTGTTGGAGAACAGTTGCTCAAAAAAAACCTTGATTTTTCCTCCTTTCCTCTATAGATTTATTTTCACTAATTAGTTGTTTATTTTGTTCAGCCATTTCTGCAGCAATATCTCTAGAATATTGTGAAGCTGTTTCTGATAGAACTTTGATTTGTTTTCTAGCTCCTGTTAATAGAAAATTAAGATTTATTCCATGAGCCTCAGTAAAATTGTTATTGTATTTGGCAGCATTTAAATAATGTTTTTTACTTTCAACTGGTTCCGATTTTGCCAGTTTATTCGCTTTTTCAATTTCATTCTTCATTTTTTCTAAATCTTCTTTTGTATCAGGAGATAGGTCTGGAACTTTATCAATATTGTTAGATAGAAGAATCATATAATTTAACTTGTCTTTATAACCGGCTCCATGTGCTGTTATTCCTATATTATCTAGCTGGTCTATTATTTTTTTATTTTCAGTAGCTTTATTCATTTTCTCTATAGTCATTACTTTACTCATTTATTACATAAAAAAATCAAGTTCAAAAAGTCAGAATAGAAAAATTAGTTTTCTCTAGGAGAAAGAAGATTTATTCTGTTGCATTGATTGGGGGTTTCTAGAGTTTGGAAAGATACTTTTTCTACAGGTTGGGAAGATTTTTTAGATCCAAGGTATTTAGAAACATCCATTTCTTTACCTAATTCCCATAAACCTCTATATAAAGTTTGAGTAGAAAGATTGTGCTGTTTTACCCATTTTCTCTTGTCAATTTTGAGTGGAGTTTTTTCTTGATCACTAATATACATTTTTGCTAGAACAATATTTCGTGACATTTATCTAGTATGAAGTTAATAACATAATATAACATTGTATAAAACAGTATAACTTTGTATAACATTACATACCAATATTCAAGTAAATAACCCCTAAGTCTTTCTTCTTGATTACTTTCTGTTTGACTAGTTCATCTAACATAGCATGAATTTTATTATACTCGTCTTTGTTACCAGCCTGATATGAACCAATAGATAGTCTTAATAAGTCAATTAGAGAGTTGGTATTTGATGGTATGAAAGAAATAGAACTTCCTGATGTTGAAGATGTTCCAGCTGTAGTTGGGGTCTTAGCTACAAAATATTTAGACTTTATGAACGCCCATTTATCACTGGAATCTGCATTATATCTTTTGGATTCTTTATCAAACCCTTGGTACAGAGCATTGGAGCATAATAATATTTTTTGGTAATTTGAAGAATCTTCAGTTGTAATCTTATTCAAGTCGGGAGACTTTTGAGTAGTAACTCCATTAACCCTTCAGTTGCTGTGTATTCTTCATTATTAACTTTGATAATATTTTGATCGAATGTAATGTCTTTGTTACCAATAGTATATTTCTTTTCTGCTTTGTTGAACTTGATTGAGTATCCGGCATTGCTTCTATCAGATCCGTCCTGAAGATAACTTACAATTAGATTACTTACAACTTGAGGTGGAGAGGAACTAGGTAGAGAGGGAGGTAGGATTACTGAGGGTTGCTTAATGAGACTTTTACGATTTGTCTTTGGTGTCGAAGTGGATGGAGGTCCTATAGAAAGTTGAGAAGGAGATTTAAAGTTGTTTAGAGTTTCTACTATTTTATTCTTTTCATCTATAATTTCTTCTTGTAGTTTTTTGTTGGATTCTAAAATAGGTTTAAATACTTCAATTCTATAATCTTCTACATGTTCTAAATCTGATCGCTCTTGTAAATTCTTGATTTTATGCTCTTTCCGATTTTTCAAAAAGTTGTTTACTATTTCATTACGTCGTTTTGGGTCATTTATCTCAACTACAGAATGCATTTATTACAGGAAATATCATCGATTTTAGATTGATTAATTCAATATTTCTGAAAATTTATTAAAGGTTTTAAATGATACTTTTCTTGCTCTATAAATGGAACAAGTTGATTACAAAAAATTAAAAAGGGATCAACTACGAAAACTTGTAAGAAACAGAACTAACACAAGTAGAGATGATGTTAGAAATATGAGCGTGCCTGAAATGCGTAAAATACTCAAACAGCTGGATATAGATGAACTTAGCGAAAAGTCAAATCTTCAAATGATGAATCTATTTCCCTTCGATGAAACTGTCTTTAGTGATTACAAAGAAGTTGGTGATACATTGAGAGATACTTTTCACAGTGGAAATTCTAAAACATTAGAATCCTTTTTAGATAAGAAAGGGCCTGATATTGTTAAAAAAATTTATGAAAATAGTGTGAAAATATATGTATCCTTAGAATGTGAAATGAAACAAGAGGGAACTGAAAATAAGGCTATAGTCCATCTAAAAACAGCTAGCGAAATAGTGAATCCGGCGGATGATAGAAAAGTCTTTTATGAAAAATTAAAATTAGATTTAGTAAATAGATTAGAACATTTTCAAGGTAAAGGTTCTGGTTTTAGATTAAACAGAATCATAGGTTTAAGAATGTTTCAAACTAAGATTATGCCATTATCAGGATCTAAATATATTGAATTACCAGATTGGATAAAAAATAAAAAAGCAGTAGTCAATGTTCAAAACAAAGATGAAAAATGTTTTATGTGGTGTATTTTAGCTCACTTATATCCAGTGGATCAAAATCCTGAACGAGTAAGTAAATATAAGGATCACATTTCTAAAATTAATTTCGAAGGTTTCGAGTTTCCATTCCAAGTTAAAGATGTAGATAAGTTTGAGAAGAGAAATAACTTGGCTGTTAATATTGTAACTCATGATGTCACAGGACCAGCAATAATTGAGTCATATAAAGTATCTAAAAACATCAACGTAGATTTAAGTAGAGTGATAAACCTTTTGTTAGTAACTGATGAATCTGGAGAAGGTCATTACTGTTTGATTAAAAATATTGATAGATTGATGAACACCCAAAATAGTAGAAGCAATAAATTTTGTATTAGATGTCATAATAACTTTTACAATGCAGAGAAGTTTGAAAATCATTTAGGTGACTGTATGAGTAATGCTCCAATGCAAATGATTAAACCTTCCAATGATTATATTGAATTTTCTAATATTCAGAAAACACAAAAACATAGATTTGTATGTTACGCCGATTTTGAATCTGTTATATACAAGATTGCTGGTGTTAACAATTCTCTTGACAAGCCTTGGAGTGAAAACGTTGGAAAACATACTGCTTCTGCATTCTGTGTGATTGTTGTGGATTCTTTCACTCAGAGTATTTACGAAATGAAGAGCTATGTTGGATATAATACTATCTTGAAGTTCAATGAATATATCTTAGATGTATGTGCAAGACTATTGAATAAAGGTGATGAGAAAATGAAAAAATTAAACAATGAAGAGTGGGAAGAATATGACAGCTGTAAGTCATGTCCACATTGTGGAAAAGCATTCCAAGGAGACAAAGTTAGAGATCACGATCATTGGACTGGATTATACAGAGGACCTCTATGTAAAGCATGTAACCGATTGAAACGTAGAAATAATTTTATACCAGTATTTTTCCATAATCTTAAAGGCTATGACTCACATCATATAATTAGTGATGAGGAATCAAGCAAACTATTGAAGGAAAAAGGTGTTGAAATTAAAAGCATCTCAGCAAATATAGAAAAATTTATTAGTTTTAGTTATTACTTTCATGATGATTCTAAAAGATGTGAAATAAGATTCCTGGATAGTTTAGGATTCATGCCTTCCAGTCTGGACTATCTCAGCAGTAACCTACAAGATGACGAATGTGTGATTACTAAAAAGTATTATAATGATGAGAAGATGTTTAAACTGTTGAGACGCAAAGGTGTATATCCATATGATTTTATTGATTCCTTTAAAAAGTATTCTAACGAAGAACTTCCTCCAATTGAAAACTTCTACAATGCTCTATCTGGTGAAAATATTAGTGAAGAGAATTATGAATATGCTCTAAATGTATGGGGAGAAACTGATTGTAAAACTTTAGAAGACTACAGTAGAATTTATATGATTAATGATGTGTTACTATTAGCTGATGTTTTTGAAACTTTCAGAAATGTGTCTCTTAAAGAATATAAGTTAGATCCATGTTGGTACTATACATCTCCAGGATTAGCTTGGGATGCTATGTTATTCAAAACTGGAGTGAAGCTACAGACAATCAAGGATGTTGAAATGTATAATTTTATTGAGAAAGGCATTAGAGGAGGTATGTGTAATACCATGCTAAGATATTCGAAAGCTAATAACAAGTACATGTCTAATTATAATTCTGAAGAAGAATCAAAATACTTACTTTATCTAGATGCAAATAATTTATATGGATGGGCAATGAGTCAGAAATTACCTTATGATGAATTCGAATTCGTTGAAGACTTTACCTTAGAAATGATAGATGATCTTGTTTCAAAAGAAAAAGGTTGCATATTAGAAGTAGATTTAGATTATCCAGAAGAATTACATGATAAACATAATGATTTACCTTTCTGTCCAGAGAATAAACGAGTTGGATCTACCAATAAACTAATAAATGATTTTAGTCCAAAGAGAAATTATGTAATACATTATAAAGCCCTTTTGCAAGTTTTAGATCATGGATTAATTTTGAAGAAAATTCATAGAGTTATTACTTTTAAAGAAAGCAATTGGTTATCTTCTTACATAGAACTGAATACTAACTTGAGAAAAAATGCCAAGAATGATTTTGAGAAAGACTTTTTCAAGCTCATGAACAATTCTGTCTTTGGTAAAACTATGGAGAACGTTAGAAATAGAGTGGATGTCAAAGTGGTGTCAAATATGGATAAAGTTATGAAACTAGCTGCTAGCAATAATTTTAAACAGAGACATATTATAAATGAGAATATGATTTTAGTAGAGATGACTCAGAAGAATATTAAATTAGATAAGCCAATTTATGTGGGGATGTCTATTTTAGATTTGAGCAAGTATCTAATGTATGAGTTCCACTATGATGTTATGCTTCCGAAGTATACTTCAAACTTGAGACTGTGTTATCAAGATACTGATTCTTATATTTATGAAATTAAAACAGACGATGTCTATGAAGATATGATGCATATGAAAGAACACTTTGATTTTTCGGATTATCCCAAAGAAAATAAACTTCATAGCATTGAGAATAAAAAAGTTATTGGGAAATTCAAAGATGAGTTAAATGGAAAGATAATGACTGAGATTGTAGCCTTTAGACCAAAACAATATGCTTTTAAAACTGATGAGGGAATGGAGTCTAAAAGAAATAAAGGTGTGAAGAAATCTGTTGTTAAAAAGTTATTTAATTCGAGTAAGCATCAAATTCATACTGTAAAACAGAATAAGGTTGTGTTAAATAATTTAGTTGGTAAAGATAAAGAATCAAAAAGGTATACAGTAGATAATATAGACACTCTAGCTTTCGAGCATTATAGAATTCCTAAATCAGAGTTAGAATAGAATTTTTATAATCATGTTTTTCTAATAATTTTAATAAGAGTAGACAGTAGTATCCACAATGATGAGTATCAAATTTTTGTATTTGAAACGTTGAAGTAATTATTTCGTTTGAAGTATTATGTTTAAGATATTTTATTATTTCTTGAGGTGGGTCCAAACCAAAAGAGTCAAAATAATAATATTCACTTTTATTTACTTTATAACAGACCCAATGAGTACCTTTATTATCTGAACTATCAAGATTAATGATGCCTACTTCTACTTCTTTACGTTTTTCTGGTAAAGTATCCTTCATAAATACACCTCTGAAATCTTTGATTTGTAACTCTTTTGCTATTTCTAATAAATCTACATTTGTTAATGGTTTCAAATCTTTATTCAGCATTTAATAAAACGTAATAATGGTAAAGAATTGAATGAAAAGAGTGTTGGTTAACACTTGATTTTTTTGCCGTTTCTTCATGGTTCTGACGGTTGATTTTTCATGTTTGCTCGACGAGAATTTTTGGCTGATTTTTCTGATTTTTTTCAGTTTTTTTCATGATTTTTTTCGTTTTTTTCGATTTTTTTTCAATTTTTCTTGCATATTTTTCGGATCTCATTAAGTGGATAATCCTGAGCTTTTGAGAGGGTTTCGAACTTTCTAGCATTCAAACACAAGACAGGCGCTTTACCATTCTGACATGAGAACAAATTGATAAGAGAATTGAAAACGCATTTAAGTGTAGAGAATTTGTTATCAGTTGGAGTGAAAAGTGACTGTTTTGAGAGGTTGAAAAAAAGTGGGACAAAAGTGGGAAAGTGAGTGGGGGTGAACTCAGTT